CTCTCTGACATCCCCTGAGGGGTCCCGGATTGCGAGAGGGTGCAGGCCAGGCCAAGGGACTCCACCGGTGCACGATCAGGGCCAGGGAGGGTCCACAGGAAGGCTCCAGGGTGTGTGCCCAGTCCCGATCGGCTGGACCCCAGCAGCAAGGTAACCTACCGGTTGGAGCATCTGCCCTCTGGTGGTCAGTGCACGTCATAGCTACCGGTCGAACGGTCGAATGGTTGCTTAGGCTTTTATATATACAGATGAGCTAATTCAAGTTGTTACTGAGTAATTAATATGGATAAAATGTAAAAATTCAACAAATTACTGCTTGATTTTGTTTTAGAATATTATATCATCACATGCAAAATCAATGTATTAAAATAATCAGAAAGCACATCTTGGGAGGACAAATAATCACCTAAACCTTTTGTAAAGGACACATGGTAGACAGACTTCTCAGATGGTCCCCAGTAACCACTGTCTCCTAACCAACATCCACAAGAAAGATGACATGGTGCCATTTTCATGATCAGTTTAAAAATGCCATTTTCCTAGCAGACTCCCTCTATTGCCTTTCTAGCTTGCATGCTCTGAAGAAGCAAGCTACCATGTTGGACAGGCCAACATGGCAAGGAATGGAAGGTGGTCTTCAGCCAATAGCCAGTGAGGATCTGAGGCTTTAGTCCAACAAACCTGCGGAACCGAATCCTGCCAACAACCCATGCGCTTGGAAGCGGCTCCTTTCCCAGTTGAGCCAACACTTTGCAGCCTAGGAGTGACCTTGAAGCAGAGGACTTAGCGAAGCTGATCCACAGAAACTCTGAGATAATAAGCGTTTTTAGGTCATTTGTTTCCTGGCAATGGATAATGGATAACTAATACAAGGCCAGGCAATAAATACTGTAGGCTTGGAGAGCTATACGGTCTCTGTGGCAACTATTCAACCCTGCGGCGGTAGCAGGAACGCAGCCAGAGATGACAGCAAATGAAGGAGCCCGGCTGTGTTCTGATAAAATGTTCCTGTGGGCACTGAAATCCCACTTTCATATAATTTTCACATGCCACAAAATACTGCTCATCTTTTGACTTTTCCAACTATTTAAGAATATAAAATCCATTCTCTTTTTTT